GGCTGGCACATGTCCCACACATGTCCCTGCCTCGTCCCAACCTCTCCAGGGTCTGGCTGCAGAGGCGCCTGCCAGCTGGAGAGAAACACTCCTGGGAGCGAACCCCCCTGGCACCCCGGCTCCCCTCCCCATGCCCGGACCTCTGGCAGGAGGGAGGTGGGATGGGACCGAGCCCAGGGTGGCTGGTGGTGGCTGTGCCCCGTGGCAAAGGGCCCCCTGGCAGAGGAACCCTGCTCCCAGAGAGCATCCCCGCAGCGACGACAGAGGAGGGTCACGGCACGTCCCTGGACCGCCCAGCAAGCCGGCGTCCTGGGGAGACGCAGCCAGGGGTGGTTTCTCCCTTCCCAGGAGGAACAGCCCGGGGTAGTGAGCAGATCTTTTCCAACGCACACAGATTTTTCTAAGATGATTACATTTAACTCCAAGCCTAAGCAGCTTTTCCTAAGGGGCAGCTTAATATACAGGGGAAAAAAACGCTGAGAAAGTGAAGTCTGACCCTTTCTCAGTGCTCGGTGGGAGTGGGCTGGGCTTTCAGGGGCCAGTGCTTCTCCATCCGTGGCTCCTTGCAGCTCAGCATCACCTCCCGGGTGGGACAGCCTGGTACGGGCTCCAGTCCCCCGCCAGAGCTGCTACAGCCAAACCTCATCCTCCAAACCATGCAGAGAGCGGGGCAGCATCCCCCCCCCCGAGAAGCCACCTGGATCTGCCCCCAGGGTCACTCATCCCTGGTTGAGCCTGGGGGGGACAGTGGGCTCCGGCTGCAGGGACCCGTCCCCAGCCCTGCACCCTGCCCAGGGACAAGCAAACAGGGCTGGTTGCAAGAAGCCACCGTGCCACTTCACAGGGCGAATTTAATGAGTTTGCTTCATTAATATGCAGCAAATGAAGCACTGATCTGAGCTCGCTCTGGGATGGGAAGCAACCGCCCAAGCCTGGACCCTATCCCAGAAAGGCTCCCAGGGTGATGGTGCACCACGGGATGGGAGTACCCGACAACGGAGGGCGATGCTACACCTCGACTTTTTCAAAGTCCACCCCTCTCACAGCACGGGATAATCTCCTCTTGCCGGGAGAACAGTGCTGAAGAAGAAACGTGAGTTTGAAGCCGCTTTTTGCCCAAAACACAGCTGAACAGGACAGCCTGCCCGCAATAAGGGGCAAAAGCCAGCAGGGTGGGTGCTGCTCCAGCCCCTTATGTCACCATGCAGGGCAAGGGGCCGTCTCGGAGCAGCCAAGGGCACCCAGGCTCCGGGGAAAACAGGCTGGACACCTCCTGCCTGAGGAACGATGTTGCACGTCCCTGATCCTTACAGAAGTGCTGGTGTTACAAAAATACAGTCTTAAAAAGAGAGGTGAAAATTCCCACACTAATCACAACCGGAGGCAGAAACAGAGCCTCTAATTTGGGGGGGGCGGGGGGGAATTGCTCGACAACAACAAAAGAGCTTTCATGGGATTTGAAACAGTATCTGGGACCTCACAGGAGCAGTGAGGGGCAGAAACGGAGCTCGGGAGGGAAGAACCATCTCGCAGAGAAAACCAGGCTGCAGAAATGAAGAAACCCACCAGCGCTGAGCCTTCCCTGGGCCACTGCCCACCCCTGAAAGTTTTTTTCATCACATGCTGAGGAGGAGGAGAGGGGGGAGGAGGATTTAATGGCACAACCTGGCTGGCAGTGGGGATGGTGGAGGGGCTCACATCTCTCCTCTCTCCCACAGCAGCACCCAGCAGCCGGGGAGGGGAATTAAAGATAAAGAAATTAATAAATTGGCTCTTTGTTAGTATGAGAGGTTGATTCCCCTTTTACTAGGAGCTGGTTTTGCTCGCAGTGCTCCGGCTTTGTGGGTCCAGGCAGCAAGCAGAGGGGCTCCTGGGGTGCTGAACTGCATGCAGCAATGATGCTCCAGCAGCATCCCGGGGCGACGAGCGGCTGAGGGATGGGATGGGAGTACCCGACAACAAGTCCCCTGGCTCCCAAAGGAGCCCAGGCCCCAGGTGGGGAGCAGGGACATGCTCATCCCAATGAGCTCAGACAGCCTCAGCTCACCAACAGTGCATGGATGTGTTTTGCAGCGAGGAGCACCAAAAG